TGTTTTTCAATGAAAAGAATAGGGATATTTACCTGGTGTGGTGGCTCACACCTGTCATCCCAGCAGTTGGGAGGCCAAGGTGGATAGATTGTCTGAGGTCACAGGTTCAAGATCAGCCTAAGGCAGAGCTAGACCGCGTCTCTAAAAAATAGCTGGGCGTGTGCCTGGCACCAGTAGTCCCAGGTACTTAGGAGGCTGAGGTAAGAAAATTGATTGAGGCTCAGCGCCTGTGACTCAAGCAGCTAAGGCACCAGCCACATACACCTAAGCTGGAGAATTCGAATCCAGCCCAGGCCCGCCAAACAATGACAGCGACAACCAAAAAATAGCCGGGCATTGTGGTGGGCACCTGTAGTCCCAGCTACTTGGGAGGCAGAGGCAGGAGAATCGCTTGAATCCAGGGAGCTGGAGACTGCTGTGAGCTGTGATGTCACAGCACTCTACCCAGGGCGACAGCTTAAGGCTGTGTCTCAACAAAAGGAAAAAAAAAAGAAAGAAAATTGATTAAGCCCAATAGTTTGATGTTGATGTGAGCTGTGAGGCCACACATTCTATTGAGGGTTGCCAAGTGAGACTCTGTCCCCCCCCACAAAAAAAATAGGGGCTTATATAGATTCACAGAGCCTTCCTTATAGGTCTACATCTCATGAAGTTGTCAATCAAAGGGGCTCGGTCTATTATTGCTTCATTCTTCAAAATGTATGGCTTTTTTTGTGAAGGTTGAACTTCTGATTTTAAGTGGCCCTCAACTGAGGTGATCCTGAGGGCTTTTCTAGTGGTATCCTCTTCCAGTCAGAGAAGTTTACCTGGATGTTGATTTCTTCTGACCATTTATCCTCAGCCTCCAGATGCTGGAGTAGCACCTACCTGACATGTTTATGCTGTACCTTCATTGGAAGGCTACTATTTTCTGGACCAAAGGTAATCTGAGTATATAATTTAGACAAGACTCTCCCCAGTGAGACAACAAGGAAATCAAACAATTGCAGGAGCCAATGAGTCATCTCTTTTTCTCCAATGAACCATGTAAGAGGTTTAAGAAAGAACTTGTTTTGGCTGTCCTGTCACTCCTGCGACAGAGTCAGGTTGTTTAGTCATAGAAGAGAGTGCAGTATGAAGCACTAAATGTGCAGCCCTAGCATTTGTTAGAAAATCTTGGCCCACAGCTTTCCATAAGGAGAGAAGAGAGGGTAGACTATCCATTAGACAAGGCATCCCTAAAGACATTGAAGCAAATTGTCACTGTCCAGAAAGGCATCATTGTCATGGACGAAGTAATACCTGTGGACAATGCTATGCCCATCTCTGGTGGCCAGAGTTCTCCAGGCCCTGCATTTTACTACTCAGAATCACTACTTCAGATTCCAGGTGCAGGAGGCATCTGTTACCAAGTAACTAACCACTTCCTATCCTCAATACCTGAGTTTCATACCTACCTGTGGTTGGGCACCTCTGTTTAGCCTTTGCCTCACCCAGTCCTCTTGCTCCCATGACGTCCTTGTGCTCTTTTTCCCAGCGACCACAGTGAAAGGGCTGCCCATTGATTCAACCTGAGAGTAGTCTGGAGTGTCTTCCTGAATCCTTTTCAGGGAGTCTTTGAAGAGGTTTATCACAGATCATTTGCCTCCCATCCAGGGGCAGCTGACAAGAGCTTTCATAAAGCAGAGTAGGTTTAAAAGACCATGAGTGATGCAGTAGGTGAAAAATCTAGTGCAAACACCTTATTTGATTGAGAAAGTCACAAGCCAAAAAGGGCAGCAATAAGGGCATGGAGTTCCCAGTTTGTCCCACAAGCAGAGAGGGTCCAATGTGGCCACACTTGCAAAAGAAAAAAATTTATGTTCAAGTGTGGCAGAAGTTACATGTGCATGTTCTGTCATTGTAGCTTAGCAACACAAATCCAAGAGGCGTGACAAGTGAATTAATGACACAAAGGAAGAGTGAAAATATCAGGCAGTCGAGAGTGGGATTTTAAAGAATAAAGTTGGCTCCTTGTTTTCCTTGTTCAGTTTTTAAAAAGTAACTGATGACTTTGAGTGTTGATAACAGTTTAATAATCCTGACTTCTTAATCAAACACAGCTTCAGCCAGAACACACAGTGAGAAAAACTTATTTTCACTCCATAGTGGCAGAATGATGGTGAATAACTGATGCAATTTATTTGCCAGTTTCAACATATACACAACCATAAGAAGAGGTATTTGTATTTTTATTTCATTTAGACCAACTTGGCAAAATATAAAATATTGATAAATTCACCTTTGCAAATATCATTCATGCCTTTCATAGACTATTTTAGACACGCCTAAGCCCTATGTTTAGTCCGAATTTTTCCTATTAAACCATGACTTATTTTAGGACAAATATTGATATTAGTTTGTTCTAGACAAAATTTTTTCCTTGCCCTTTAAGGTTCCTTATGACGCATCATTTTTCATATTCACTTTCCTCACATTTCTCTTTTACGTATTGAATCTTTCTTGCTTTTTTTTTCTATTTTGAAAGAAAATTGCCCCCTAGTAAATTCCTTACTTTATAAATGCCTGAGAAAGGAGGGCTGTGGATTTAGGTCTCTAACCTAAAGTTAACAGTTCATCCAAACAATGGGGTAGGGCAGTTGTAAAGCACTAAAAGGGATAGAGAAACATCAGCAGTGATGAGAGGGACTTTAGACAACACAAGAGTTTGTATTTTACCTTCCATTTCTAAGAGGGATATAGGAGAGGGAAAAAGTGGCCCTGAATGTCCAGGGAGAGCAGAAGAATGGCGCTAATGTTAGGAACATCAGTTCGTTTACTGGGACAGAGAGAGACAGCTTCCCACCACTCAGCTGAACTTGCTCTGAAGCTGCAGTTTGTCCATCAGACTGAAAGAGTTCCAGAGGATCAGTGCTGGTTCAGGGATTTCACAGGGGCTGGAAGGTGAATGTGATCTTCTGACTCCAGGAGAGGGCAATGTCACTTCCAGTGCATCTCTCTAGTAGTGAGGACATAGTCCCAGCAGAGGCCCCTTCCTGAGCCATTTCTTATCCCAGAAACCCACAATCATAGTAGGGAAGGGCTCAGGTCAGGTGTCTTTTTGCCTCAGCTTTTAGGGGAACTGAGTACCTGCCAACTTTTTTCCATAGTGGCAGAAACCATTCCGAAAGCTCTTTGACCTGCTCAGGGCCTGGCTTTCTCTCATTGTCCTCTCATCCCCATTCTGCTTACTTAGATCTTAAAAATCTGGTTTACATTCTGCTTGTGGAGCCTGGGGCCCCTTTAAGCTTTTGAATAACAGCACTAATGGGGGGATGAAGTGCATTGTCAAGGTGAAGAAGAAAAAAGCAGATGAAGCAGGGGCAGGTAAGGAGCTACATTACCTGGAAGTGAAGACAACCACAGAGATGTAGGAGTAATAAGTAATATCCAGCAGGCAGAATGAATTCAGAATGTCTGTTGTTCCATTAGCTTATCTTGCTGAAGATGTGTATTTTCCTCCCAGATAGTAACACCAAAATGTCAGATATTAGGGGACCAAAGGTGAGGTATGTGTTCCCTTTTTTTTGTTCTAGGTGCCAAAGAATGGTTATTACAACCAAGACAGTGAAAAAAATGAGCAGAACAAGCAGATACAAGTGTGCAAAAGGGCAAAGTTTATAAAGGACAGTACACTCCAGAGAAGGAACACATCTCAGTTTCAAGTGAGGAAGATCCTGGGATTAGTAAGAAGTTTCCCCTTACACAGATTTTCCAATTCTAGGTTAAGTGGTATGAGGGTAAAGTAATCATGATTTTTCTTGGAAATGGGGAAACCTTCCAGAATGGAGAGTCCTCCCACTTCTATCCCTGTAATCAATGGACACTATTGGTCATTGAAATTGTAGAGTATGATAGAACTGGGGTAAATTGTACTATGCCCACTACAAAGACCCCTTTTTTGTATCCTTGGCTCTATCTCCACACTGTGGCCTTTCTACCTCTGAGACTCATTTTTGTAGAACAAAAATTAGTCAGCTTTTGTTTCAAGGAATCACCCTCTCTGCAAATTGTCCTACTTATTATGGACAAAGGATCTCCTAGTAGCATCTGCCGCATCTCTCCTTAGCTCCACCTAACAGGATAAACACAACTTTAAGGCTGTGAGATGAGACTGACATTTGTAGAGTATTTGTTCCATTTGAATTATGATTAGTAAAGTGTGAGATTCATTTAAAAATATTGTCACACTCTTCACATATGTAGAATTTCTCAATGAATTCTGTTATGTACTGAAATGAGTAGTGGTTATAGGATATGACACTTTCCTCTCATTTGTAAGTCATTCCTATGTTATAATTTTTTTGATACAATGATTTAAGCCCTAAACAGTTGTTAATCTTGTCACATTTGTAGGGTTTTTCTTCAACATGAATTCTATTGTATACAGAAAACAGTGCCTACTGGCATGAGGCTTTGCCACGTCTTCACATTGTTACCACTTTTCTCTGCTATGATTTTTCTTATGTTTACTAAGACTGAGGACCACTGAAAACCTTTGCCACATTATTCACATTTGTAAGATTTCTCTCCACTATGAATGTTCTCATGTGTACTAAGGTTTGAGCTCTGGTTAAAGTCATTGCCACACTGTTCACATTTGTAAAATTTCTCTCCAGTTTGAATTATTTTCTGCTTAGCATGCTATGAACATCAGGTAAAGGCAGTGCCAGTTTCCATATGAAGGGTTTCCCTCCTGTGTGATTTATGCTATGTACAGTGAGGACTGAATGTGAGTTAGTTTGCCCACAGTCCATATTTATAAGGTTTATCTCCAGAATAAACTCTTCAATGTCTAGAAAGTTTCACATACTAATTAAAGGCTTTGCTACATTTTTAACCTTTGCAGAGTTTCTCTCAAGAATGAATTCTTTGATATACAGAAAGGGTGGAGAACAGGTAAATGCCTTGCCACATTCTTCATATTTTTAGAATTTCTCTCCGTAAGAAATTCTTTGATGTTTATTACGAATTGAATTGAGTTAAAAGGCTCTACCACATTTTTTAAATTTGAAAGGCTTATGCCCAGAGTGAATTCTTTGATGTTCAGAAAGGTTTGAGAGCTGGTTAAAGGCTTTTCCACATTCTTGACATTTGTAGGGTTTCTCTCCAGAGTGAACTCTTTGATGTACAGAAAGGAATGAGCGCCGATTAAAGGATTTGCCACACTCTTGACATTTGTAGGGTTTCTCTCCAGAATGAATTCTTTGATGCACAGAAAGATTTGAGTGATGATTAAAGGCTTTGCCACATTCTTGACATTTGTAGGGTTTCTCTCCAGAGTGAATTCTTTGATGTACAGAGAGGGTTGAGTAACAGTTAAAGGCTTTGCCACATACTAGACATTTGTAGGGTTTCTCTCCAGAGTGAATTCTTTGATGTACAGA